GGGATCTTCAGCTCTCTCCGACATGCCGCGGGCAGGGCAGGGCAGGGCAGGGCAGGGCAGGGCACGGTAGGGCCTGGCCGAGGTTCCCAGCGGTTTCCGGCGGCTCCCGGCGGCTCCAGCGGAGCGCTCCCGCCGCGGCCCTCACACCGGAAACGGCCCGGCCGTCGCGCGCCGTGATGACGCAGCCCAACGGGGAAGTTACTAGAACGGGGAGGTGCCGCGCGCCCTCGGCACCGCGCGTGCGCGCGCCCCAGGGCGGGGCGGAGTCTGAGCGGCGTGAGGAGGGCGGGGCGCGGCCCGCGCGCTTTTCCAGCCTTCCCGTGCCTCATCGCGATCGTTTCCATCTCCGCCTCCGCGAACACTGCCTTGCGCGGCACATGCGCAGTGCTAGGTCCCGTTCTGGGATCCTCAGTACCGGAAGACAAGGACCTACTGGAGAGGGTCCAGCGGGAGCGCAAAGATGATCAGGGGTCCGGAGCATCTCTCTTGTGAGGAGAGACTGCAGGAGCTGGGCCTGTTTAGTGTGCAGAAGAGCAGACTGAGACGGAATGTCAGCAACACATGCACGTATCTCGAAGGCAGGGCTCAAGAGGATGGTGCCAGAGTCTTTTCGGTGATGCCCAGCGACAGGACAAGGAGCAATGGCCATAAATTAAAACACAGGAAGTTACACCTCAACATGAGGAAGAACTTCTTTCCATTTAGAGTGGCAGAGCACTGGAACAGCTGCCCAGGGAAGTAATGGATTTTCCCTCTCTGGAGACATTCAAAACCCACCTGGACACAAAACCCAAAACCTGCACTACATGACTCTGCCATGGCAGGGGTGTTGGACTGGATTGTCTCCAGAGGTCACTTCCAACCCTAACTACTCTGTAATTATTTGTGATTTTAGATTTTAGTCCCATTTTAACCTGTGTGCTTTAACCACCTAGCTAAGGTGGTTAAAGTGTGTGGAAGTTACTTTAGTGATACACTTCTAGTGGTGCTAAAGTGGTACTAATAAGTAGTAGAACGAACCTTGCCAACAAACTTTATTACACTTTCACTCTTACACAACCTGAGGGAATGGCCTGAAATTGTATCAGGGAGGTTTAGGTTGGATATTAGGAAAAGGTTCTTCACCCAGAGAGTGGTTGGGCACTGGAACAGGCTCCCCAGGGAAGTGGTCACAGCACCAAGCCTGACAAAGTTCAAGAAGCGTTTGGATGATAGTCTTGGGCACATGGTGTGACCCTTGGGGATGGTCCTGTGCAAGGCTAAGGGTTGGACTAGATAATCCAACTCAGAATATTCTGTGATTCTGTGAATCTGCCTTTGCCAATACCTTTGCTGGTGATTTTGTTGAGCAACACAAACCACACACTTGCAACTGCCCTTCACCTGCTGTGCCAGGCCCTCCCACCCCACAGGCAGCACAGTGCCTCACTGACACAAGTCATGGGAAGCTTAACATTTATTGCCACATGCAAGGGGCATGTGCTTTGGATTTTCAGTAAATCCATGGGGAAGGTCACCAGGAGTTTCTCAGCTAGGAGCTGGGAGTGCAGGTGCCTGCAGCACAGCTGTGGTTTGCAGGAGTCATGGTCTGTAACACAATAGTGCAAGGTGTCACAGGGACCTGTCATGACATGGAGGGGTTTGGTGGTGGAAGACTCAAGAAAACTAACTCAGCACAGTTTGTGAAGATACATGAATGAAATAAATCAACACCTGATGCTTCTAAGTTGTTTGGCAGAAGCCAAAGGGTAATAAATACTAAACATTGACTACTTTAAAAGTATTGCTACAGAAGTGGTCCATAGCTGGGAATCAGATTTTCCTCAAACTTGCACCAAAAAACCTCAATCACAAATTAAACTTCATATCACCAAGTCAGGTATTCTTCCCAAATATGCCTGCTTCTCAGGAAATTCAAGGTGTCTATTACTGTTTTGTTTTGAAATACGTGTGGCCTTGAATTCTAGACTCAAATGTCCTTTTTTGCTCAAATAGTAGCCTGAATCATCAGATGATTTTCTAGTTTGGTCTGCTCTTGGGGTAGAGCAGACCTGTTGGAAGTTCTCAGTAGATTTGTTCAGCTGGTACTAAAAATAATGTAATACAGCACGGTAGGCTCCAACTCTCTAATATTTTTAGTAAAGGAATGTAAGACCTGCTAAGACTTTAAAATAGGAATGCCAAAGGCTGGCTGAAGGGAATTCCAGGTTTTGCCTGTTCTAGAGCTTTTGTTTGTTTCACACAAAAATTATTCCAGGCCTATTTAAGTACTAAGCTTTTCTTTGGTCACACTTGTTCCTTTCCCACATTAGTTGCAATGCTACAAGGCATTGAATTCTGCTGCAGCAGAAGTCCTTTGGATTTTTGATTCTAGACAACTGAAGCAATTCATCAAATTATTCTCTCTAAATATCTAGCAATTTAATGATCTCTTGAAACAGATTGATTAGATTTTGGGAAGAGACAGATATTCTGGATTTCCTAATGCAAAATTGCTTACAAATACAAATTCGTTGGAAAAGAAGTCACATCTCAAAGTTATGGGCACCAATGATTTGAGTAGAAAAAAGTCTTGGTCTTGTAACTCTTGGTAAATATGTCCTGTGGGACAGCAGATAATGAAAACACAGCTCCCCAAATAAAGGGGTTTTAGTTTGAATCAGACTGGTAACAAAACAGATTACTTCATTTCACCCAGTAGTGTTCTATCTGTCAGGATAAGATTATGCACACCCTGTGCTGTGTGGTTACAGGGTTCACAGTTCTGAAAAGTGGTGTTAGTACCATCCTGAAGATATGGTATTTGCAAACTATTTTCAAAGAGTTGGCCAGAAAACAAACAAACAAACAACAACAACAACAAAAAGGTAGGTTTTAGAGGTACAGGTATTTTGCTTTATTTCTTCCTTAGTCTCTTCTCTGGTTCCTTCCCTCCAACTTCTGTGTTTTCTGCTTGTTCCCTGGGTCAGAGATTTTCTAATCTGTCTCTAGTCAGCCAGCTCCATTGTATTTCTGCAATGTTCCACTTCAAGAACTATCCCCAAATAAGATCCCAGGATTTAACACTGCATTCAGTGCTACACAAACAATTCTGCATTTCTATAGCATATTGCATTCACAGTTAACATGGGACAAAAGAAACATTTGAGCTTAGTCTTTTTAGCACAAAAGAAATTGTTTATTACTAAGCAAGCTCTGAAGAACAATATAGGGCACTTTCCAAACCTAACAGGTATGTGTCGTGACGAGGGAAGAATGAGACGCTCAATATGAGAATCAGCAAACTTCGTTTATTGATCACTACTAACAGCTTAATATACACTTTATAATTAGCTCATACATATTGCAAAAACTAAGCTCATCATTGGTTCTGCTTAGATGTTGACTTCATCCCCTACTCCCTAACATTGTTGACACTTAGATGTTAATTCTGTCTTTCACTCCCTTCCTTTGTTGACACAGGTGGCTTTCAGTTACTTTTTGTTTTGCTAATCACAGTGTCCTGTTTACCAGCCAATTAACAAGGCACTGTAACCTCTCTCACGGGCCTAGACAGGCTGTGTTCTATACTCTAGCAGCTCATCCATAGCTTTAGCTATATCCGTATGTCCCTGTCTTGCTAGCTGTGACAAATAGAAACCCAATCGGGCAATTTCCAATCAGAATTTATTATATGATAAAAGCAAATTCAGCGCTGGGTGATCAGGGAGGGGTCCAACAACTCCCAACACCTGTCACACCCAAAGAAGACAGTTGTTCTACATTTATTTCCAGCTACTACATGAATATTCATTATACATAAGTATAAACATTACACATTGTTAGGCACATGAGTATA